CTTCTCAATAGTTTTTCAATTAGACTTTACAACTATTTTTCTTCTCAATAGTTTTTCAATTAGACTTTACAACTATTTTTCTTCTCAACAGCTTTTCAATTAGACTTCACAACTATTTTTCTTCTCGATAGCTTTTCAATTAGACTTTACAACTATTTTTCTTCTCAACAGCTTTTCAATTAGACTTCTTATCTATTTTTCTTCTCAATAGCTTTTCAATTCGACTTTACAACTATTTTTCTTCTCAACAGCTTTTCAATTAGACTTCTTAACTATTTTTCTTCTCAATAGCTTTTCAATTAGACTTTACAACTATTTTTCTTCTCAACAGCTTTTCAATTAGACTTCTTAACTATTTTTCTTCTCAATAGCTTTTCAATTAGACTTCACAACTATTTATCTTCTTAATAGTTTTTTAATTAAACTTCACAACTATTTTTCTTCCTAATAGCTTTTCAATTAGACTTTACAACTATTTTTCTTCTCAATAGTTTTTCAATTAGACTTCACAACTATTTGTCTTCTCAATAGCTTTTCAATTAGACTTCACAACTATTTTTCTTCTCAATAGCTTTTCAATAAGACTTCACAACTATTTATCTTCCCAATAGTTTTCAATTAGACTTCACAACTATTTATCTTCTCAATAGGTTTTCAATAAGACTTCACAACTATTTTTCTTCTCAAAAGCTTTTCAATTAGACTTCACAACTATTTTTTTTCTCAATAGCTCTAGCTGTGAAAAGTGGGATTCTGATTGAACATAAAAGATTTTAATATTACGTGCAGCATGCCTTTACCTTAGTTTTAGTCTTAATTCATTTAGATCAAGTCTAATAGTCTTAGTGTAAAATATCAAAGGTTTATACCATTTAAAAAATTTTAGTTTGTGGCAAATTTGTAAATAAAAAAATTAGCGAAATCAAAATATGAAGATCCTGGATGGGTTGGTTAAATATGTTAGAAATTGAAACCAAATATATTTTGGAATTTTCTCCCAGTAAATTTTTTAACATTGTTTAATAAAATGCAGTTTATATTAATATCAAACTTTTGGAGGCAAATTCTTTTATTCTGTTAAGCCTGACATGTAAGTCACCAAACTAAAGTTCGGTTCAGTGGTTTTAATGTTTATAAAAAAACATATATGCATATATACTAGCTTGGGAACCTAGCGATGCCCAGGTTTACTAAAAGTTACTGCCGCCCTTTACCTGCACTTGAACGATTTTACTGAAAAACTAGATTTTCGCTATTAAAGTCGACCCACTCAATTTTAAATCTTAAAACCAAGCTAAGAACATTCCCGTGGGTCTCCCGAGTTCCCCAATCAAAATTTGAGGCAAATCGGTCCACGGGTTTCTGAATTATGATCGGACAAACAAACCAACAGACAGACAAACAGAGATTACAACTTTATATATATATAGATATACTTCTATCTCTGATCCCTAGTCCTACCTACAAGTACTCCCTTGTGATGCATAACCGTGGAGCAAATAGGTTCGTAAACATGTTAAACAGTAAAATATATATATATATTATCCATATATATAGATATAAATATATATTATGTATAAATATAAAGTTAAATATATTGAGAAAAATATTTAGATTTGAATATAAATATATAGAGGTAACGATCTAGGTCCCGATCAATCTTCCTATACTTGACTCTAACTCTAATAATCAGTCTTCAAGACTCTATCTCTCTAGCCAAAACCCTGGCTCTATACTTCCGTTTGAAACGACTATTGATACCATACTAATTTAATACAGATTGACCGGACTGGCCGGTCCGGGTCGAATAGAATATAGATACTAGATAAGCAAACATAGAAAATAAAGATAGTAAACTAGATAAACAAGATATATGATAAGGATAGTAAAATAAGCTTCACCCCCTGAATTTATTAAAAGCCTATCTTTCTACTGGTCTCTACCCACAAAGGATCAGACTGTGAACATGTTAGTTATTTTCCCAAAGGTATTTTCTCAAAGTGGCAACTTCCCAAATGTTCACTTTCAGCGCTTGCCCCCCCCCCATTGCAGCCTTACCTAACCTTAAATGTACATTTGGAAAATTTCTGCTTGTGAAATTACACAATAGGGAAGTTGTCACTTGGAAAATTGATTATTCCAAGGTTAAATTAAGTCTTTTGCCTTGAACAATAGTCGTCTAATGATTTTGTAATGAATTGACGTAGAACTGACCAAGTTTATACAGTTTGCAGGGAACCAGACAGTATAAAATTCATACAAAAGTCGTCTCTGAAGTCGCATCCTTTGTGGGTGTCCCTGTTTAAGTTTTTCGTATATTTTAAAATGGTACCAATTTCGCTGATTTTCTATCATTTTCTAACAATTTATTTGATTTATCTTTTTATCTCTTCATCAATCTATCTATCTAGTTATCTAAATATCTTACTATTTATCTAAATATTTATCTATCTTTCTATTTATCTAAAGATATATCTATCTATCTATTTATCTAAGTATCTATCTATCTATTTATCAAAGTATCTATCTATCTTTTTATTTATCTAAATATCTATCTATCTATTTATCTAAACATATCTATCTATCTATTTTTCTATTTATCTAAAAATCTAGCTATCTATCTTGTTATCTAAATATCTTTATTTATCTAAATATCTATCTATCTTTCTATTTATCTAAACATATATCTATCTATCTATTTATCTAAGTATCCATCTATCTATGTGAGAAGGTTACCCTAAGATGCTGCACTGCGGAAATAGATAAATTAGTGCAGAGGTGTCTCAAAAGTAAATTTTATAATACGATGCCTTAAATTATAATTATCTGTGGCAAAGTACTGATAATATTTGTTAGTCTGAAAAATAGTCCTTAATTATGCAATTTTAACATATCGGTCCTTATCGACCCAGCAAGCTACGACTTTCGATCACAATTTGACCTATGCGCGACATTCATTGTAAAAAATGCAGGTTAAAGTACATTACTTGTCTTTTTACCACATGACATACCTCGTCACAAATGTTAAAGCACATTGAAATAAAAGTTACAAAAACAATTATTGCAGCATTTCAGATTAAACAGCAATAACTGATATATTCTTACGATTTTTATATAAAAAATTCTTTGCTTGCCATTCTTTAGTTAAAAAATAAGAAAAGTATCTGATTACTAATACCATAGATTAATTAAAATATCAGATAGGACACTACATGTCGTCTTTTAAAGATTTTGATGAAACTCGTTTACAATAACCCTGAAGCAGAAGCCTAGAGCCCGAAATTCAAAAGAGTGTTGTTGAATGAAACTCCTGAGTGTCCATTTCGGGGTCTTAACATTTATATAGATTTTAATTTAAGCGATTCGAAATAAAGGAGAATATGAAGAAAATAAATGATATAATATTTCATAACAAAAAAGATGATATCTACAAAACTGCCTAACCCCATTCGTGAAACCCGGGTTTCAAAACTGGTTTTTATAACGATACCACCCTGTCTTAAGTTTTGGGCTCTGAGGAGTTTCGCTCAGAGGCGTAGAACAGGCTCTCTCTGTCTTGTAATTCTACGCCGACGCGATTGCGCAAAACTCCTCTGGGCTTCTGTCTCAGAGTTATTATGAACAATTTCATCCAAATCTTGAAAAGACGACATCTAGTGCCCTATCTGTTATTTTAATTAATCTATGACTAATGCAAATAAATAAGTTTGTAAAACTAATAAAACTTCTGTTAAAACTAGATATTAAACCCAGCTACAGGAATATTATTGTAATTTGCAAAATGACAACAGGATAGATAGGAAATTAGAATTTAAAGTTTTCTCTTTCAAAAGTTTTATCTTATAAATTAATAGATGCAGTTTTCTAGAATTGTTTGAAATCCGAAAATAATAAATTAAATTAGGATTTTTCTAAATACAGAGACCCAAAATTATATTCTAAAACTGTTTACTCTTTATAACAACATGAAATCCACATTATTGATTAAATGTCGTCCTCCTGTTGCCAACAGGAGGGAGCAACAGTCCTAGATAGTAGATATAAAGTATCACTGGTAGGAACAGCATTTCCAGATTGAGATCTCAATCAACTGAAATAAAAAACTGAAAATTAGAATATACTTTTAAACTGTCAATTTATGCTCTAAATGTTTAGTCAAAAATTACACATACAGGGTGTGTTAAAAAAGGGAATATCGATATTTTGGACAAAATAATCTAATTTTTTGTTCGTTTTGTTTGTATTAGAAATTTTTAAAAATCAACTTTTTTGCCCTCACAATGCCTTTGATAAGGGGATCGGATTTAGGACATCTTGACGATATAAAAGTTATAATGAATCAAAAATTTTTTTTTAACTACACATAAACAATAATTGAAAGGCAACGTTCGTCTTTTATCCAAGCTTAAAAATCCAATTTTTTTTATTTTTACTCATTGGTTCATAAATCTAGGGACATAGATTAGTTAACAATAACAGATAGAACACTAGATGTCGTTTTTTCAAGATTTAGGGGTTTTCGTTTACAATAACCCTGTGAAAGAAGCCCAAAGGAGTTACGCGTATGCTCTCTCTCTGTCAGGGTTGCTGTGAACAAAAAAACTCTAATTCTTTAAAAGACGACATTCTAGTGTTATGTCTGTTACTAGCTGAAAGGCCCGGCGGTGCCCATGGAAAAAAGAGAAAATTTTTGAAAAAAAGAAAAAAATTACGATTTTTTAGTTTAAAACCCCCCCAGCCACCCATGAGCGTCCACAAAAAAAATCAGCCCAATCGGTCCAGCCGTTTGGTCGGCCAAGGCAACATCTATATATAGACGAATGTCTTGTCTTATTATAAGATTGTTAATTTATTTATGTCTAGGGTAGACTGTATTTGAAATTATTCCCAAATATCTATATAATATATACATCGAGCTATATGTATATAAACTTTGCTTGTTTGGGTGTTTGTAACCGATAAACGTCAAAACGGCTGAACCGATCGGGCCCACATTTTTTATGGAACCCCCGCTGGGAAGGTTAATTGATGCTCAGAATTACAAAAAGTTGTCGCCAAACGTTTTGATTTTCGTAGAATTTTAAAAAACCACGAAACAAAATTGTAATTTAAAAGTATAGTTTTTTTCTGACTATACAGTGATCACCAGAAAACAATGGAATAGGGAGACGATATTATAGCAATATTTAAGTGTATTTGATACTGTTACAAAGCAAATAATTTTACCAGACACTTATAAAATCACTTATTTTGTGAAATGGGTCTTTTTACAAGCTGCACAATTGCTGTGTTTCGTCGTCATTGAACTTTTTAAAGTTAAAACTTGATTCTAAAAGTCGTCTTACTATTCCAGAGTTTTCTGGTTATCACTGTATATGATGTGAAAAATGACAGTAATTACTTTGGTACATCCTCTGTTTTGTGTATGCCTATTATGGATCCTAAATATTTTAGATTTAAGACGACATTCCATAGGGGCTTGATTTTCATACACAATGCATAAGGAATAAAAGACCCTTCGCATCTGATATATGGTGGAACTTTCTACCTAAAAACTGTTTCATTGTCCTTTGTTTTCAGTTTCGTCCAGTAAACTTTACGCTATGTTTAAACTTCGTAGTTATTTAAGTTAAAAGGTGAAACACATTCTTAAGGTTTTGGTAATTCACCAACATTTTACCGGCTACGCTGCATTCAGGGGCTTTCAAACATCTCTAAAACTAACTTTTTAAATTTATTTATTCTATGAGAAATGTAAGTGAAAAAATGTAGTTTTTAAATAACTTTGAACATTTGATTTCTGAAACTGAAACTATAGATTGAGACTGTAAGAGGTATTTTTCAGCCCTTATTGTCATAAAGTTTTGAGGTATCAATATAAAAGCTACTTGCGCTTCACAGTCAACCCTAGTCGAGTTAGGTTCTTAGTCAAAGAACCACAGAATAAGAGCAAGAGGAACAAGGAGAACAAGGGGAACAAGAGGAACAAGAGGAACAAGGGGAACAAGATTAACAAGAGAAACAATAGTAACAAGAGGAACAAGAGTAACAAGAGGAACAAGAGGAACAAGAGGAACAAGGGGAACCAAGAGGAACAAGAGGAACAAGAGAAACAAGGGGAACAGAGGAACAAGAGGAACAAGAGGAACAAGAGGAACAAGGGGAACAAGAGGAACAAGGGGAACAGAGGAACAACAGGAACAAGAGGAACAACAGGAACAAGAGGAACAAGAGGAACAAGGGGAACAAGAGATACAAGTCAAAAGTGATATAGAACTACAAAAACAAGTTATCGTAACTGAAGTGCCGAATTGCTTGTGGCAATCATTACAAAAACTAGGAGCCAAAAATTGAATAGAGCTTTTTGGCTACGCGGTGGAGTCCAACCCAGAAACTACCAAAAAAAAGCTTTAATTTCATTCACACCTTATAGAATACCAAAAACACTCAAAGAATCAACAAAATCAGCTTTATCAACCACTACCACAGAAAAAGTAACAGCAACAAGAACAGTAGCTACGACTGGACTCCCTAGGGCAGTAAGTTGTGTTGTAAATCCACCAGAACTAGAAGATTCAACAGCTGTAACAAATATGTCTGGCTGGCAACAGAACAGTAGTTTATCCTCTCAGTCGGAGAAATCAATCAATCAATCAACTGCCTCGACCTCAAGCTCTAATCAGTCCACAGATCAATCCAAGGCTCAGCCTCCAGGAGGTCAGAGTCATGTTAACTGGGATAAACTAGTCGATGAAGTGTTCCACGACGAAATCAAAGATTTCCATGTTCAGCTCAACCACAAAGCGAGGACTTTGCAAAAACATTAATTAAGTTCGTACAGGGTGACTCACAAAGGATGACAGAGTTTTTTATCTCCGTGACTTGCATTTTTTCTCTATGTCCTGCTCAACAATTTTTTTTTTAAGTTTACATTTAATGCCAAAAAAAAACACTTTTTCCTTTAAATAAATGATTTTAAGGATTTTTCGGTCATAATAAAACTCTCAGTCTTGGTGGGTTATCCTGTATATTTTAAGGCATCAAAACAAAGTTTAAAAAAAAAAAAATTATTTTATTTTAAGCTTTTAACCCCTCTAAACCGAAATGTTCAAAATTCGCCCCCATTTCCAAATAAAGTAAACCTCTTTTCTGTAGAAATTAACTTATTTATAATATTTATTTAGGACATTAATTAGCTTGAAATTCTGTATTTATTATTTATTTATAAATATATTTATTGTATATATCTATTTTTTTAATTGAGAATATTTTTACATAAATTGTGATTCATAAAACTGTGGAAGAGGAGGACGACATTTAATCAAAATGATGTGTATTTTTTACGATGTTAAAAAGCAAATAATTTTACCTGGAGTCAAAATTTTGTTTTTATCTAATCTCCAGATTAAGCATTGACCTAAATCTTATGAAAAACAACGGATTCATTCAGTTTGATATAGTGGGTATACCCTAAAGGGATATTTTTAATTGGGGGGGGGGGGGAGGTTCAAGCATTTATCGTCAAAGTTAAAAGTGCCCACATTAGATCAAGTGTTCAAGATTAACAATACTCCACTTAAAAGTAGCTTGTGAATCAACTTATTAGGTAAAACGGTGTCCGAATTCAATGAATTTAAGCTGCGTCTTAAATACTTCAAAAACCGGTTTCAATTAAGCGTCGGCTTAGTTTCTGAAAAATTAAATACAATTTTAAGTGGAACCAACCATATTTGAGCTGCGGCTCAAATTCTTTAAATTCGACCTCGGGTCTGTTGTGTATGTACAGTGTGAACAATTGCCGTTTTTTATGTTCATTAGACTAATTAAAACAAAATTTTTCGCGTTTAACCGAAGATAAACCTTCCTTGTGGTTTGGACCTGATCCTTTATATTGGATACAATTACATTACATCATATTTACATAAACATTACCAGAGCCGAAAACTTTAGAATTGGATATCCTTAATCCCGATCGGTTAATTAATTTGGAGATTTATAACAAGGGGAGAGCAAGCATTATTTAATTTCGAGATTAAGAAAAATCGTAGATCAAGCATTAATCCCGATATTCACCATTCAAAAGTTCCCAGCTCTGATTACACTATTTGGGAAATAGTTCAGCTCTGAATTTGTCTTCTTTCCTTTCTTTTTCCTTAAAAATCTAGTTTTTCAACAATCGATTATTAAAAATAATTTTTCAATGTTATTGCAAAAATATCCTAAAGAGTGTCAGTTTCCTAAAAGGATGTAGAACCTCCTATAATGTTCAATTTCCTAAAAGAGTGTCCTACCTACTAAAAGAAGTTCAATTTCCTAAAAGAGTGTCTTCTTACTAAAAGGATGTTCAATTTCCTGAAAAAGTGTCCTACTTACTAAAAGGATGTACAATTTCATAAATGAGTGTCCTACTTACTAAGAGGATGTACATTTTCCTAAAAGAGTGTCCTACTTACTAAAAGGATGTTCAATTTCCTAAATGTGTGTCTTACTTACTAAAAGGATGTTCAATTTCCTAAAAGAGTGTCCTACTTACTAAAAGGATGTTCAATTTCCTAAAAGAGTTTCCTACTTACTGAAAGAATGTTCAATTACCTAAAAGAGTGTCCTACTTTCTAAAAGGATGGTCAATTTCCTAAAATAGTGTTTTACTTCCTAAAAGGTTATTCAATTTCCTAAAAGAGTGTTTTACTTCCTAAAAGGTTGTTCAATTTCCTAAAAGAGTGTTTTACTTTCTAAAACAATGGTCAATTTCCTAAAAGAGTGTTTTACTTACTAAAAGGTTGTTCAATTTCCTAAAAGAGTGTTTTACTTTCTAAAAGGATGTTCAATTTCCTAAAAGAGTGTTTTACTTTCTAAAAGGATGGTCAATTTCCTAAAAGAGTGTTTTACTTATTAAAAGGTTGTTCAATTTCCTAAAAGAGTGTCTTCTTACTAAAAGAATCTTCAACTTCCAAAGACAATACATTCTTTAGAATAGTATTCTTTTTTAAAAAGGTATCTGAAGTTTTTTTCACAAAGAAATTGAGTCTTGGCCACCAACTATGCTTTTAAAATCCCTATATCTTTGGAATCCAATATGTCTTAAATCTTTAATATTTCAAACATATATTATTTGATCTAACAGAATTCATAGTTTGAAATATCTAAGGTGTACGACATTTAAATCCAAAGGGTTAGATAATCAGAGTTGGTGGCCAAGACCCAATTCCTTTAATTGCTGGAAATTATTTATCAATGCTGTTACCAGTTAGAGCATTGACTTTGTTCGTTCTATCACGAGAACAAACGGAGGAGCAAACGATAAAATAAAAGTAGGAACATGCTCAGTCCTGGTTGCCAGTCCTTGTTGCCAGTCCTTGTTGCCAGTCCTTAATTAATTATATTTCACTTATTTTATATATTTTTTATTTATTTTCTGTTGGAACTTTTAGCCAATGAGCTTTTGTAATTGATATCAAATATTTACGAGCATATTTTTCTTTTTAAGTCAACCTATTCATCTTAACATTTTCAAACCAAGCTAAGAACATTACAGTGGTTCTACTGAGTTCCCCAATCAAAATTTGAGGTACTGAGTTATATTCGGACATACAAACAAACAGACAAACAGAGATTACTTCTTGCTGTATAATGATAAAGATATATTTTACTTCAAACTCTAATTTTCTTATCATTGTATTATTGCGATCTAATATCAAAATTCGAAATTTTGAACCATGAAGTCTGACAAATCAAAAAGTTAATGTTTTAAATTTCACACTTTGTCAGGTTAAAAAAATATGGAGTCGCTTTTGTGTCTGTATGTCTGTAATGTTTGATTTGTCTCAAATTTTGATAATGGGGAACTTGGTTAAAACCACAGGAATATTCTTAGCTTGTTTAAAAGTTTTAAGTTAAAAAGGTTAATTTTGAATGAAAACTTGGTTTCCAGGCAAAGCTAAGTTCCCAATCTTGTTCATTATGTGTAAAGGGGGAAGGAGGAGGGGGGGGGGGGAATACTCCCCACCCCTTACCTTAACTGTGAATATACGAACCATGATTCTAAATTTACAACTTTTTGCGGCATTTTGTTTCGTGCGCGCTTACGTCTTCCTCATTAAGAAATTTATCGGGGAACCACCGTTTTTTTCGGACAAACTAGAGTTGTCTATATATGTTCCAAGGGAACCCCAATATCAGGTTCATTCTTCAGTAAGGTATAGGGGAATTCCCCAATATCAGGTTCATTTTTCAGTTAAGTTCTACGGGGAACCCTAATATCAGGTTCATTTTTCAGTTAGGTTTTACAGGGAACCCTAATATCAGGTTAATTTTTCAGGTAGGTTCTACAGGGAACCCTAATATCAGGTTCATTTTTCAGCTAGGTTCTATGGGTAACCATAGAATATCAGGTTCATTTTTCCGTTAGGTTCTACGTTACATGGAACCCTAATTTATGGAGGGAACTTTATTTATTTTTCAAAATGCAATTTATTTTTCAAAATTCGAAATTTTTTTTTGTTATTCCACAGATAATGCCGGTCAATTCAGCTAGTATGCTTATATAAGTGTATGTTTGTCTGTGTGTGTGTGTGTACGTTACCTACACTACCTATAAGCGTGCCAAAAATTAACACTTAAAAAATGTTACTTTTCCAACCCTCGGTTATCCCTAAAACTAGCAATTAAGACAAATTAGGTCGTGTTTTAACTATTTTTAAAAATCCACGGGCAGCGCCGGCACTGGTACATATTCAAATATCATTGGGAACATAACAGGATCCTCGAAAACCCCCTGGAAATATACAACTCCAAGAAGAGTTTAGTAATTCACATGAATAGACAGAACTGGTTTTCTGAGAGAAGGACTCAATTTAAAATAAAACCCAACAAACTATATAACGCATGGTTCTATAATTAACGATGAGCATAGCATTGCTAGATTCGTTTTACAGAAATTTTTAATATTTTTAGACTTTTAAAGGGTTTACGACAATCTGAGAAGGGTCCAACGATTTAAAATTGTATTTTGTTTGCTTTTATCAAACATGCAAATCTGCAATCCTATTGCTCTCAAGAACCCAAAGACGATCGGTTTTATCATATATTTTCTTCTATAGGGTAACAAATTTGCACGTTTGATAAAAGCAAACTTCTACAGATTAAAGCTTTAAAATGTTGGAACCTTCTCATATTGTTGTAAAACCTTTTAAAAAGTCTAATAATATTAAAAGTTTCTGTAAAACGAATCTGGCAATTGTCCATCCCTCTATATTATACAACGTAAGTATCTAAAACTCTCAAAGTATCCATAAACAAGTATATCAGTATCTAAAGCTATCTAACTATTTAAAGCTCTCAAAGTTTTTATAACTATCCCAATATCAAGACTCAAAGTATTAAAAAATCTGAAACTATCTATCTATCTTTATTATTATCTAAAACTATTCAACTATCTAAACTATCTAACTACAGGGTGTCCCAAAAAACATGGGAATTCAGTGAGGAATTCGATATCGTCTTTGTTATGAACTAGCATTGTAATACCTAATTTCAAAATGCCATAATATTATTATGTCTGCTAGAGTTTATTTAATGAAAAGGGTGAAAGATGTGTCTATAATGTCTCCGCAAGATGAACAGTGAATACGGACAAGTTTACTCTGTTTATATACTGTAATTTTCTTGTTTTACTAAGTACAACCGGTTGCAGTCAAAACATAAACAAACAAAATGTAAACATAGCAGACGAAACTCTTACAGATTACAGCTTTCTCAGTAGGTATCACTATGCTAAATCAAAGAATTATTTGAAAAGACGATATCGAATTCGTCACTGAATTCCCAT